GGGCCCGGCCCCAGGGGCCCGGCCTTTTCCCCCGCCGCCAACCCAGGGAGAAGGGGGGGGGGGGGGGGGGCCCCCACCCCCCCCCCCCCCCCAGAAGGCGCCTGAACCGCTCATTTATTTATTTAACCATTTTTATTGTGAAACATGACAAACATAAGGAAAAGTGCATGAAACGGTAAGGAGCATTCAGTCAAATTGAAATCAAACGCCTGTGCGATCACTGCGCAGATCCATAAAGAACCACGCCAGCCACGGAGCCTGCCGCGGTCAGGCCTTTCCCACCGCAGAGGGAGCTGCTGCGCTGACGTTTACAGGCATCATGTCCTTGCTCTCGCCTCCTTTGGCAGTTTCGCCTTTGGCTCTGATAGGGTTAATTTTACCTGTTTCTGAAGTCACCTTGGGTAGGTCACTGAGTTCAGCTTCCCGTCTGTGAGATGTGTCGCTGTGGTGGCTCGCTTTGTTCTCACTGCAGGGTGGAATCCCATTTTATGAATACATGACCACCTAGGTATCCACCCGCGTGGACTGTCGCGACACGTGCCCTGCTTCCGGTTTTCCTTGCTGTAACCAGTGCTGCTGTGACCACGGCAGTTTGAGTGTCCTGGCCGCCCGGGGACACAAGCTCCTCTGAGCACATGCTGGGAGCGGGCCAGCTGGTCAGTCACAGTGTGCCCAGCTGCATGAGCTCCGGCCAGACTGTCCCCTACACGTCACCACGTGTCACACCACGACATGTGGAGACCTGCCACGGGCCGCACTGTCGCCGGCACTTGGTACGGTCAGGTTTTCTCATGTCGCCCGTCTGGTGGGCGTGCAGCGGTGACTGGTGACTCGGGGCAGTGGGGCGGGCGCGGGCAGGGCCTGGGTCAGCGCTCCCTTCCCCCCCAGGCTGGCCGATCCTGCTGGGGCTGACCGGGGTCCCCGCGGCGCTGCAGCTCCTGCTGCTGCCCTGGTTCCCCGAGAGCCCGCGCTACCTGCTGATCCAGAAGAAGGACGAGGCGGCGGCGGGCACGGGTACGGCTCT